TCCTTCCCCGCTTCACAGGCAGCGACGCGGGAAAACCCGTTCGGTGCGAGCCCCGCGCCTCGCCCGCCAGGCTTTATGAGGGGTGCGACAGGACGAGAGGCGATGGCCCCAAGCTGTGTCAGGGGAGGTTCAGATTTGGTATTACGAAAAATTTCTTTACTGGAAGAGCAGTCAGGCGTTGGAACCCACTGCCCAGGGGAGCGGTGGACTCCCCATCCCTGGAGGGGCTCAAAAAACGTGTGGATGTGGCACTTCGGGACGTGGTTTAGCAGGCGTGATGGTGATGGGTTGATGGTTGGGCTTGATGATCTTAGAGGTCTTTTCCAACCTTGATGATTCTGCGATTCAATACCCTGTCCCACTCCGCCGCCACGGGCAGCAGGAGGAGCCCAGCGAGAACCACTTAGGGTTCAAAGGCTGACCAGTCGGTATTAACACGTGAGAAGGAGCTTCCAGTCCTTCTAAAGCTTGTAAACGTTTTGACACCTGGTGATGCTGTGAGCAAACATTACAGCGTGAAGGGCTGCCAAAGAATTATCCTCATGCCGAGCACGTGTCCAAAAAACAAAAAGCAACGCCTGATTCGTGACTGCCCGAGCGCTGGTTAGAGCGGGGCAGGAGAGGAGCGAGCAGGCTGCGTCACAAAGCACACACAGCGGGCACAGAGTCGGAGTTATTAAGGCAACCATAAATCTATCCTCTAACACTCAAGGGTTTGAGGTTGCAGCGTTCATAACATTCATCTGGCATGTCTTTGTATGTAGTTACCCACAACTGCTTTTAAGGGGGGAGAAAGTATTTTGTATAGCCATAGGAAGACTCACGTTAGAGCAATATCTACCTTTTTAGTCCAAACAAAATACCTCAGTATACATCAAATGACCAAAAGAAGCTGTTATCTGCTACCTTGAGAGAACTGAAGATGCTTGTGGACTGGTGTCACCTAGAAGATGCCCTCATTCCTCCCTTTCTTTCTCCTCGATCCATGGAAGATCTCCTGCTCAACGCAGTGTCAGCCGATGGAGACCCGAGCAGGCTTGGAGGGCTGCGCACAGGGACTTCTGATGTGGTAAGAGGAAGCCTGGCCTGGCACACCGCATGTATTTTCACTTCAGTGTTGCTGCCTTGGAGAAGGGATGGTTCTTCATCACGTTCTCTAAGACGTTCATATCCTGTTAGTAAGTTTGCCGGCTACCAAAGTTTCTCTGAGGCATGCAAGTCTGAATCAGAAGATGGAAAATTTCAGCAAAAAAAATTCAAATGCTTTTTTTTGGTTGGTTAGTTGCAAGAAATAAAAAGAAACTCTTCACCATCCTGCAGCCCTTAGGCTTGTCAGGTCTCACGCTGACAGCAGCAACAGTAGCAGGGATTCATGAAAATCACCAGAATGCTATAAAGTGGAGAATGCTGGTACCTTATGGATAGAGTGGCTATCAAAATGCTTTAGTCATGAAAACGGCTTTGGTTTTTTATGACTGCTGATAGCGCCTTGTACTTTGTATAAACTTCAGCTGAGATTTTCAATCATTTTAAATATTAGTAAGCTGTTTATGAGGTAGGTAAACATTTCTCAGAGCACGCTTATATACTTCACTTATATTTGCTTTTCCGGAGCTTTCCACTGTCTGATCTTTCTGTCTCTCAGGCTGTGACCTTCTACACTCTTTTTTCAGTCCCAGTCCCCCTCTCATCCTAATTTGTCGTCGTGAAGGAAACAAACAGCTACATCGGGATCCACAATAACTGCTGAAAAGAAGGTACAGAAAACCACGTTCTAGGAATCCCTGATGTTCATGAGCACGCCAAATCACTACAGTAAGCTATTCCCCATGAAGCTCTTTTTATCAAGTATTTCAAGGTGATTTCTCTGGCCTGCACTGTGCTCGCTCTTGTTTTTCATGCACCAGCGCCTGCACTGCCCAAAGTCTCCTTCCACAACCCCGCAAAGGTGCAAGCTGAGTGTCTCCTGTACATGCTGCGTGTTTAGGGCTGGAATATCCTAAATTACATCATTTAGGCCCCAAAGTTGACTGAAGGAATGAAAATAAGCATTTTTTTCCACTATCAGAGGAAAGTTGGCTAGATGATTTTGAAGTCTTTTTATTTCTAAACTCTTGTTAATTTTAGAGTGAAAGATCTAAAAAATTATCTGCCATGGAACATGTTCAAATCACCAAAGAAATAACAACTGTTATTTGTTGTTGTTTGGAGCAGCTGAAAGTGTAAATGTTATAAATTTTTCAGTTAAAGCTAGTACCTTAAGGAAGGAGCTGCAAATACTGCAGGCATCTGCTGTCCTCCATGGAAAAGCAGGGGAATAACAGAAACCTGATGCAAACAAATATAAAAGATTTCCTTCATAAGAATATTTCAAATTAGTCCAGAAAGAAATAATTCTGAATGTGGCTGCTGGAGGATGCTCACGGTACGTTAGGAAAAATTGCTTTATTCCAAACAAACTACCACCTCCTTTCCCAGCATTATCGTGGAAGAACAAATGTGGTTACTGATAGTCTGCAAGTCTGGCTAGCCATCAAGATGTTGCAGAATGAATGCAAAATCAAATTCCACTTGACAGGTTAATACAGATTTTCCTTCCATATGCAGAATTGCTACGTAAGTAGTTATTAAAGCAGCTCTAGTTGGTAAAATATTGAGAGCTTTAATTTGATTCAGTATCACAAAATGTTTTATATGGTTTGAATACAGAAATCATGATGGGGAAGCTTAGAAAGAAACACTCGTGTTATCCAAGAGACCACAAAAAGATTTTGTGGACATTTTGTTGCTTGGGTGTGTAATGGATCCCCCAAAAAATGCAGAGATGCAAAAATAAAACTGAATAAGTTAGCAGTTTCCAGTCTGAGAGTTTGCCATGCGAGAAGTTAGGATTTGTTAAGATAGAAGGTAGTTTGGTAGATATTTTCTGCATTATCTAAGACTATTCACAAACCTTAAATGACTTGATTATATGGTATTGTGTGACAGCATGACAGTTGGTAGCAGTAATTAGAGCAGTACACTGGCAATTTTCAGCTGGTCTCTTTTAATCTTTGTTACCTGTCAATCTCACCTCTAGCATCTTTTTTTGTTTTATATTAAAAAAAACAACCGATCATTCCAGAAGCAGGAAAAATTAAGCCTTTTCTTCTACTACACCTACAGCTGGCTTTACAGAAGCAGCCATATTTGATCTTGCTGCAATCTAGAGCAAAGCTCCTCAGAGAGCAGACAGGCAAATTTCCATTTTAAACTACATAATATCTTTATTGTATTTGTGGGGTTTGGGACAGAGTGGTTACTGATTTTTTTTTTTTCTTTCTTTTTGGTAATCAGCCACCATTATCTCACAGCATCCCATGACAAAAGCTTTGCTGAACTAATTGAGGCAGAACTGAATAGTTTTATGGGTTTTTTTCTGCCCTTTCCTGCGCTGTGCTATTAATGCCACACTGTCAACACACCTCATTTATTTACACTTGGTGAGTAAATTTGCTCAA